CAGTCAAGAAATTTACACTAGAAAATCAAAACATAAATTAAATCAAAATTAAATTATCGTCAAGTCTCTTGTGCATGCAAATTTACAAAATTGAGCAGCAGACAAAAGTATACATTTCCTGTTCGTATTTCCTCTTCCCTCCACTGCCGCTGGTGCTCTTCATGTCGATTGCCGTCGCTTAATTTTCTGAGGTGTTAATAGCCATGCAGCAACTCAAGTGTTGATTGGTGTGTGTGTAGTGCATGCGCTGCAGCCGCAACATACCAACTTCGTACTGCAATAGTGCAACAGTGCAACAAGCAGGAAACGCATGACTAAAAATGTACAGTAAAAATAATTACATTAATTAAATTTGCTAAGTTTGAGTACGACTCGTTGGAAGTACCTTTATCTGCAAGCAGCCCTCAAGGCTCTGCTGGGGCTCAATTAACAGCTACGCTGTATAGATGAACTACTTAATTTACGTTGCTTAATATAACAGGTTAGAAGCAAATTTCATTTAATCACGCGTTCTAAAAGCTAAAAATATATATGTCAGAAATAAATAATATAAAAATATGAAAATTTCAAATAAGGCTGAGTGCATATTTACATATGTGTACACTTGTGGGTGTGTGATTTAATTAGTTCATTGGTAATTCAAAATTTACTTTTCAACATTAAAATTTACTTTTCACTGCACTTTTGCTAATGCAACCAAAAATAAAAAACAATAATAAAGAAAACAAGAAAATTCTTCTAAATCTAGTCATAAATCAGTAGCTTATACCGTCAAACATCCATTTAAACACACATGTACCACACATGTACACCGCACACATGCACACACATAGAAAGAACTCCGTGCTCTACTGTTTTACTTACATAGAAAAACGTCAATAACACAAGCAGCATTTTGGGGATTTGCATTCGTGTTGCCAGTTCGTGTTGCATGGCAGCATGTTGTTCACTTTTGATGATATGCACAAAAACGCTATCGGAATCTGAAAAATCGTGCTCAATTCAGTAAGAGGACTTAAGTGCGGATTTGTAAGAATATCCTTAAGAGTTTCGCAAGTTGAAAATATTTTTTGTTAAATGCAAACATCTTACCTATAAATTATTTACTTATTGCAAATGGTAATGCAAGCAATTTCTTGTAGACGCAGTCGAAATCGTTACATTGCTTAGAATTCAATTGCCTGAGAATCGTTTTATATATTTTTGACAAATTCTCAGATAATCTATCGATTACTGAATTACATTTAATGGGGAATTTCTTAAAACGTGTTAAAATGGATGCACATAATCTATCAGATGAATGGGTACATTTCAATAAAATGGTATTAGCTTAAGAAAACCATTTTTTTAAGACAATTGTTAAAATATAGTGAATAAAATAATTTAATATAATTACTACATTATTTTCCTTCTGGCACAAAACGTTAAACTTGTTACATAGATTATCGATTTCTACTTAAGTTTACACATCTATTTTAATAAATTATTTATCTAGTTAGTTAGTTTTGTGGGAGGAAGGAACGAGTCCTTTTTAATTAGCTAAAAAAGCCGTTTCGAATCCAAAACATCTCGTTATGGTAGGTAGTAGAGAGAAAGTCAAGCTAGAACCAGCCAGAGACATTTATAAAGATAAGAATCTGACCAATGCTAATGCTAGAGTTATCACCGAGTGTGTTAAAGAAGGGAACCCTCTCAAACCTAAGCCTAGTTCTGGCCTGACCTGGACAAAGATATATCAGATATTCTGGTGTCCTCTTTTGGAGCTCTCTCTTCTTCGAACTGGTAGTACATATAATTTATCTATACAAATACATAAATATATACAATATAAATATTTTTATCTATATATTTATTCACCTACCATGAGTTATAAGGGGATTTCAAATTTTAATTTAATATAAAAATGTACTAAAAAGGACATATGTGACTCGTATATACAATATGAAAATAAAGATCGTATCTTTAAATTAATAATCCTGATGAAAGTATATGTGAAATGCGATTATAACAGATGTGATTCTTTTTCTTTTTTTTTTTTTTAATATAATTAAATTGATGACATAATGAATAGTGTCAAACATAATGAATAAAACAATTGATAAATAATGTTCTCATAACTGTGGTAAAAAGGCTGTAAAAACAATATGAACTTAAATATAAATAAAACTATATAATTAATATAAAAACCTTTCACAACAGACCTGAAGACATGTAATTACTCTTCGGTAATAATGATTGCTTTGTGGTATTTTAAAAAATCCAGTATGCCAACCAAATATCATGTAGTGAGACAGAATTTACCAAGTGTAAAATAAAATAAAATTAATTTAAGGTAGAAATGAACATATTTTTATGCATATATGATTGTATAAATATAATAAAAATTAAAAAAAAATATGAAACGTTAAGAAGTAAAGAAAATTAAATGAAAAAGATAATGTAAAGGAACAATTGAAACTCAATTATGCATTTATTATTTCTTTAAATAAAACTTAAAATTAAAGGATATTAAGAACTGAAAAATGAATAAATTAAAATAAATAAATTTAAAATAAATAAATTTAAATAAAATATGGAATACAAGGGATTTTAAAGTAAAAGTAATTTCAAACTTCTAATTTTTTTTGATATTTAATCCGGAAACCAATTAAAATCTCAATTGTATGTAATTCAAGTTTTTGGTGTAATTGCATAGCTTTAAAGAAATTCCAATAAATTGGTTCAATTCCAATAAATTTTATACAAAAACTACTCATTATTAATAAAAATATTAAACTACTATCAGTTGAAGAAATAACAAAATTTTCATATAGATCACATATCAACAGTCACATATATACATAATTGGTGGTTAATGTCGCAGCCACAATTGTGCAGGTGGGTGATGGTGAGTGTTCCGGGAATGTTGTAGAAAAAATTTCGGTTTTTGGATATATTTTTGCAGTTCACTAAACTTTCGCGTTTTGTTTTACATATTCCAGGGGGAATTTCTTCTGTTATCTTTACACTTCGGCCTAACTAAAGTTAAGAAGTTAGACAAAAGAAGTAACTTTAAACTAATGAAAATATTGAAACAAAGTAAATATTAAACAAAAAACAGAAAAACAATAAATATATATTATGAACACGTTTGCCTCAAGAACTGCAACGTCTAAAACAAATTTAAAATTAAAAAAAAATTGTCTCTCATCCTTATTATCTTAACCTTATTCCTAATGATTGTATTTTCAGACTCAAGAAATAAATGAAATCATTTTGGAGATTCTTTTAGTTCTCTTGGACACACTTAGCAACTCAGTCACCATAGTAATAAACCCACTAAGAAATCGTAACCATGTCCAAGGATATGAGATGTTTATGCTCGCAAGAAACACTCTATGAATGATTTTTTTGAAAGCTTTGAGGAAGAATATGTTTATTATATGATTTGACTAGTTTTATTATATTATTTCCGATACACTTAGCAAGTCAGTCACCATAGTAATAAACCCACTAAGAAATCGTAACCATGTCCAAGGATATGAGATGTTTATGCTCGCAAGAAACACTCTATGAATGATTTTTTTGAAAGCTTTGAGGAAGAATATGTTTATTATATGATTTGACTAGTTTTATTATATTATTTCCGATACACGTATGTGTATTTTGATATGATGCTACGACCCAGAATATATGCTCCAAACACTTGCTAGTTTAATGACCTTGACTCTTTGTTAGAAAAGTTTTAGCTCAGTGTGGTAAGAGATGATATGAGAAACCAAGCATGTTAAGATGGTTAAAACAAGATAATGAATCGGATGAAGATATTTGTGGAATTGTGATTTAGTTAAAATCTAGTTAAATCAACAAATATTTTTCTGAGTGTACAGGGTACATAATGAAGAAAATGAATACTCAGTAATTAAAGCTACAGCTGATCAGACCTTAGTGTTTCCAAGAGAGTGTGGTGTGGGAAATAAAAAATTTTACTGTGTGATTACATAAATAACAGTTATTTTTGAACAATAAAAAAATCATATATAAAATAAATTTTTAGTCAATAGAGTAAAAAACCTGCCACTTAAATGTAGGAACCCTATACTTAGACTCAGTCCATTAAAGATGTTATACGTAAATGTCAAATTGTTTTCAATGTTTATTCTAAATAGTATATCATTTTTCTAAATATCTACTTTAGAAAAGACTATAGAAGGAAAATCGTAAATAATTTTCGGGAAATATTTTGCTTTCGACGATGAACAACAACATTTTTTTTAACCAATTTTTTTATTCGTAATTACTCGTCTCATTTATATGCTAAACTTATGTTATATATATGTATAACATATATGTATATATATTATAATCAAAATTTACTTTGTGTAATTTGAAATCAAGGCATCAAATTTTATTATATATTTGTTATTTATTGATTAAAAATCAAATGCAAGAATCCAATCAACTAAATTTGTCATATCTAAGTCTACTGATAAAATTTTAAGAAAATGCAGGAAGAGTGATGGGGGAGTCTAATGAGCGTATGTTGCATCCGCACCATATAAATTTTATGCAAATTTTTTGTTTTTAACTAAATCATTTTTTATTGCATTTGAATAAGGCGTATATATAATTATATAGACATTTGCCTAACAAAATATCCTAAATTCAACCATTTCACTTCTATGACAAATACTTTTTTTAACCTTCCTCACATTTTCCATTTTGCAGTCGTATTCCATACTCGAATCTAGTTTGTAATTAATAGGAGTATGTGTATGCAAAGATACTTACTTGAATTATCCGCCGCACATGTATAATTTCCAGAATCCGTATGCAGTACACGTGATATCACCAAATTGCTTGTCTTCATTTGTTGCTCCGATACGACCCTAATACCACCGCGTGTGGAATCGTTGATTAATTCGCCACCCTTAAACCACGTCATGTGCGTATAGGGACCCGGTGCTTGCGGTGCAATACATGTCAAATTAATGTCACTGCCACTCTGAATGAAAAGTTCGCGATTCGAAAGTATTTGTGCTTTTGAGGCTAAATTAAAAAAAAAAAAAAATAAACGGAAATACGGAAAAAATTTGAAAAAATTATAAATGCACTCAATTTTCTTTAATGATTGCACGCCTAGCAGTTGTATACTTACTCACAACCATCAGTTTGTAAGCCTGACTAATTTTTGGCTCAGTCGACACTTGACACTCGTATATGCCTGCGTCTCTAGGCTGCACAGACACTATTTTCAGTACCCATTCGTCTGAGTTATCTAAATGTCGCGCTAAAAAGCGCTGGTCATTTGTGTACGTCATGATGCCAATGGTCAGTATGTGTAAATCGCGTTTGCGTATCCATGAAACGGCACGATCTCCGAGATTACGTACACGGCAGTGCAGACGTGCCGTTGTGCCTACCGCTCCAATAACGTCACGTTCGGTGGTGTTTTCAAATTGTGGTTCTATGTTCTCGTAACTCTCGAGTATTAAATTCGAAAGCTCCTGCGGATGTTTGTGATGTGGCGCTGTCGTTGTACCTTCGAATGCTGCAAGGAAGAATTTAAAATTAAAAATAGCAAATTATTTTCTTAAATTTTTAACATTAATTCAATATAATTTTTTTTATTTTTTTTATGTTTTTTATGTTTTTTATATTTTTTATTATAATTATTACATATTTTAATGCTCCGCTTTAGTTCAAAGTCTTTTTTGATTTGGCAAATTAGCCGGAAAAAATAATTTCTTATTTGCTTTTAGCAATTTGGCACAACGTGCAGAGATTGTTAAATTGCTTTTTACTTGCAATTGCGTTGTTACCATATCCTTGTGTTCCTTTTCATGCTTTCTCCCCAACTTTCCCTACTTTCCTTTCCGTACTCATGTTACTCATGCTTATTCGCTTATTTTTTTCATACTCAATTATTTTTCTTTTAACGCAGTAACAATATTGTTCCTTGCAAGGAGCACATTCGATGCGTGTATGTGATGAAAATCAAAAGCGCCTCATTATTGCTGACAATTCAGAAACTGTTGAGCCTGCATGTATGGCCAATCTACAAGGTTTGTCTGGGGGAATGTTATTTTTATTGGAAATTGTTGTAAAAAATGGAGCAGGAAAAAATTTATTAAATGTCATGAAAACCCCTAAGGACAAAATTGTAAAGCCGAAACAGAAATGGCAAAATTAAACGTTCCAAGAAAACAATATCAGATCTCTTTAATGTATGAACTCAGTACTCTTTAGTACTATCATAAAACTTAAAACTATTCATTTACATATAGTTATGTCTATAAAAAAAATTTTATAATATAAATTATTCTTACTATCAAAGCA